GCTGTCCACGTTGTCGTCAATTGCGGTGTTAAATCGCACACATAAACAAACCAAGAATAAGCACAGAGCTTTTAGTTAAATAGATAGATTTAAATACATAAAGATAGATATAAAGATATCTTAGAGATAGACATAGAGACAGAAAAATATGGAGAGAAAGGAATACTGAGAGAGAAAAGGAGGAAATTGAGTGTGTGAGAGAAAGAAGGGAAAGGAAGGGGCAGTGATAACAAAGGTAAAAATAAGATAATGACAATGGGAGCGAGAGAAGAAAAGAAAGAAAGAGTGAGCGTGAGAGAAAGAAAAGAAGTGAGATAATAAGGAGAGAATAAGGTAGTGACAATTGAGAACGAGAAAATAAAAGAAGGAAAGAGAGAGAGACTATATGATTGAATGAATGTCGTTTTATTTAAAAATCTCGAAAATTTAGGTCCTGACCAACGACTGTCTAAAAACAAAGGAAGAAAGAAACACATACACGCAGAGAGACAGGGAGAAAGATATGGAGAGAACAAACATAGAGAGAGTGAGCGAAAGGCAGGTTGAGAGATAATAAAGGAGATGTGGTAAGAGAGTGTGACAGAGAGAGGGAGAGAGAGAGGGAGAGAGAGAGAGCGAGAGAGAGAGAGAGAGAGAGANATATACACATTTTTTTTATTTTTTTTATATATTTAGTTATAACAATTCAATTGTCTGAAAACATATTTAATATATTTGTGTAACTTGATCCTTCTTTTGTAGCCTTGCGTCAGGATTTTTATTATTCTTTGATCGAGAGGATGTCACTGGTAGTGTCTGGCGGGAAGAAAACTAGCTTGATTGTCTGTATCAACATTTTTTGGATCTGCAGCAAAGTTGTCCACGAGCTGAAGTATCTTGCGATCTTGCAACAATCCGGATTTCGAGCCCTTTAGCTGAAGGGTACAAACACGTCTCTCGACTTGAAATGCAAAATGAACCGGCTGATACCCCCGCCAACGCGAAAACGCCCTTCAACCTAATGATGAGCTAAAGGGCTCGAAATCCGGATTGTTGCGAAACATCTTACTGTGAGTAGGGACCATCTTTTTAAAAAGGATTGAACTCTACACCCACTCCATCATTCATAATTTCTATCACAGAAGATTGTTGCTCGCTCAAAAACACTTTTCTATCCCACTTAATTAAACTTTGACGGGGTGGATGTAGAAAAGTTTGATGAATACGGATCTTCACAGGAAACGTTCTTTACGATTTCTTACGATTCAATTATTGTAATATTAATATTCAATCATCATAAAAATTATTGTTAGTACTATAACGTCATTTATTTATTCCTCTACATAATTATTATCATTAGGTTAAGGTTTCATTTGATTGAAAAAAGGTTTCATTTGATTGAAAAAGGTTTCATTTGATTGAAAAAAGTTTCATTTGATTGAAAAAAAGTTTCATTCGGTTGAAAAAAGTTTCATTTGATTGAAAAAAGTTTCATTTGATTGGAAAAAAGTTTCATTAGATTGAAAAAAGTTTCATTTGATTGAAAAAAGATTTCATTTGATTGAAAAAAGGTTTCAATTGATTGAAAAAAAGTTTCATTTGATTGAAAAAAGGTTTCATTTGATTGAAAAAGGTTTCATTTGATTGAAAAAAGGTTTCATTTGATTAAAAAAAGTTTTATTTGATTGAAAAAAGGTTTCATTTGATTGAAAAAAGTTTCATTTGGTTGAAAAAAAGTTTTATTTGATTGAAAAAAGGTTTCATTTAATCGAAAAAAGGTTTCATTTGATTGAAAAAAGTGTCATTTGATTGAAAAAAGTTTCATTTGATTGAAAAAAGGTTTCATTTGATTGAAAAAAAATTCATTTGATTGAAAAAAGGTTTCATTTGATTGAAGAAAGTTTCATTTGATTGAAAAAAGGTTTCATTTGATTGAAAAAAGTTTCATTTGATTGAAAAAAAAAGTTTCATTTGACTGAAAAATGCTACATAAATGGATCTTCTGTCTGTGTCCTGGTAAGTGCACCAGTTCATTTAAGCCCCCTGATAGAGGATTTTTGAGTTTTAGGGGAGGCATATTCTTATGATGATAATAGCCTACAATGTTTTCCATGTTTTGTGTCAATCCCAATTATGAGAGTACTAGTTCGTTTAAAAGGTTGCCTTGGTAAACCCATTGACCCTTATACATACAATTTAACCCGGCCCGTTGCATTTTTTACCGCCGATTCTGCTCCAACAGCCTGCAACGTGGTTGAACACAGTTTATTTTTCGAGAAAGTTATAAAAGCTTCTTGGCCCCACTTGCCCAAAGCTGCGTTACACATAATTCGACAGAGCAGATGGTTTGATATTGACTGTTATTCGCTGCGATACTTTCTCTCTACTTAAATTTTTTCGCAAAATTAATTCTGATATGATTAAACAGGATTATTTAGACTCCAATCGGAAATTTAAAGCCCTCTGTTTTGAACTAACTCAATACAAGGGATGGCGAAAAGTCGAAATAATCGGTAGCGACCAAACTAATTAAGATACATTGGAACAATTTTGACAGCTACACTTAGTCAAACAAATAGGTTTAAGTAATTTGATCGTTACAATTTTAATTTGCCTAACCTCGCTGGTTTTAGCGTTAGGGATATAAATAGGGCACTCCAGGAGAAGGCTGAAAGACGGACCGATCCGGCAAAGATGGGTAGACAGTTGTGGTTAAGATGGCTAGTGGTGTTGAGGTAGTGGCGCGTACACTGTTGAAAAACAGTAAACAGGTTATTATTCGCATTCCGCAGCATTTGTGCAATACTTCTTAAATTGTCCATGCCCTCTTATTTGCTCTAATCTCCTCTTTATCAATTATTCAGCCTGATTAATTTGAATTGCCTTTAATTAGGCTCTGAACGCAGTCTGTATTATTGTCACAACCTATTTTACTGTTGACAACATGGGAAACGATGATTTTTGGGAGTACATCATTGCAAAGAATCTATTAATAAAAATAAACTGGTAGAACAAAAATAGTAGAAAAAATAATTTATTAAATGTTACATTTATTGTATTTTGTGACAAATTGAAACAAAGAAGAATTAGAGAGAGAAAAAATTAATTAACTCCAAAATGAGTTTTGGTCTGCTAGCCTTGCATTATGCGGGGAACACACCGGATGCAACGCTATGCGACGCTACCCGATGCTACCGTAATGTGCCTTGTCACGTTTTGGTAGGGTGTGCACATCCATGCGAAGTCAAGCCCACGCCACGTTCACACATCGTGTATCACAATCGCAACGCCTCTTTTGTTCTTAATGCACTATTTTGAGCAAAACCTAGTAATAAATTGTTAGTTAAATTTTATGAGCACAATCATGTAATAAATTGTTTGTTAAACTTAATTGTTTTAAATAAAGTTATTCCAATGTTTTGATAAATTTTCTTCCTAACCATCATAATTAAATAATTTTTATAAAAACTCATACATTTTTGATCTCGTTTAATTTGGTTGACATTAAAATAAGGATGTCATAATTGATATAACGACAAAATTACATACACAGTTTGAAATAAACTACAAAAAATATGATGTCCTGTTCTGATGCTCCACTACGAAAATGGTGTAATTTTATTAACAAAACCGGGTTAATTGTTAGTTAAATTCATTATATCAAAAAATGGTATTCCGGTGTTTTGATCAATTTTCTACCAAACCATTAAATTTTTTTTTTAAATAAAAACTAATGATTTTTGATCTCGGTAATTTGATTTATATTAAAATAAGTATGTTGTAATTAATATAACGACAATAACACACATAGTTTGAATAAAAATATGAGAGTCCGATTATTTTGCCTTCGACTGTACTCGATGCGACCCGATGAAAATCTGACCAGGGGAGATCGCATAGCGTAGAGTAGGATAGCATAGCATGGCATCGGGCAGATGTGCACTGGGGTAATACAATCTTATAGAAAATTGGACTTTGAATTTGCGTCGGGTAGCATAGGGTAGCGTCGCATAGCGTTGCATCGATTAAGTGTGTTCCCCGCTTTAAACCTCACCACGGAAGATAGCGAAAAGGCAAAACGCGTCAACAGGCAAAAACTCAAATATCTCAAATCTACCAAGTACTAATGCACATATAAAGGACCCTGTACCTCTTCGAGACAAAAATCCCACTCAATAAACTTCTGCTGTACAAGTTAGTGGTCATGCGTGCTTCCTTGGAGTCTCATATGCAGGACTAATGTCGCCAGACTACAAGTTGTGCGGGACAACCTTCAGAGGCTGGTGATAGACTCGCCTTTATGTAAACGCATACCGGAACTGCACAATGCGACAAAGAGTTCATAGCGCTGGAATACTTCAAAGATGTAACTATTAAATTTTAAATATTTATCCATTTTTGGTCTAATTGACCAAATTACTTCTTTCAATGAATTACTCTTTTTTTGTAAGGTCTTGGTTGAGATGGGGAGTTGGTGTCCGAATGGATCGAAGTCGCGATAGCTCATGTGGTTAGAGGGCCGCGTATTGAGCCAAAGGTCTGGGTTCGAATCCCGCTCGTGTCACTAAATTTTTCATCTCAACCAAGACCTTAAATAAAAAGAACAATTAATTAAATTTTAAGTAATGCGAGGTTAGTAGCAGTACAATCTGCTGCCAAATATACGATAAAGGAAAATAAAAATAGCTCACCTATAATTTGGTCACGATAGCTGGGGGTTTTTAGTCTGGTATTTTCCCCAAAAAGATAAATAAAGTGATGTTATAATTTTTTTGTAACCAGGAGGAGGTAAGTCGTTAGTAAGGAGGAACCCTTAACTATTGTATTCAATATATGTATGTAAGTTTAAATAAAATTTCTGTTTTGTTCTGATTAAACAAACAAAAAATAGTGTTACATTTTAAATAATTTATTTCTGTATTAACCATATAAATACATTTTGGAAAGTACCACTAGCCTTCCTCCTCGACAATGTATCAGTGAAGCCATATACTATGTTATTTCAAGTAATTTTGAGGAAACACAATTACAATTACTATTTTATTTATGTTTGACGCATCACAAGTCCCTTTATATTTGACAATTGATTGGCGACGCCTAAGCTGGGACCACAGCAGGCGGGCCTCCGAGTTTCTTGGTCAATTTCAATATACGCTCCGCTTCTCTGACACCGCTGATCCTGGCTCCTTGGACGGTACTGAACAAACCTGGGGCTGTCGCTTCACCCGCGAACAGTAAAATAGGGTAGCCTGGTGAACAAGGGTCTTCGGCGGGAGTGGCCAGGTCACACTGGTTAGCAACGCTCGACTCAAGGCCCATGTAAGTCACGGCACCCATGAAGTTTTTATCAGTACTCCATTTTGACCGGATGACGCTGAGTGGGTAAGGGAGTGTCGAATCGCCTGTAAAACGCCTGAGCATTGTTGTTATGGCGTCCGCCACTTCTTCGTCACTGCAGTTCTCGCTGTCTATCGCTTCTTGACCGCCGACGGACGTCATGAGCATGTTCTGAGAGCCTGGGAGTTCTTCGATCGTCGATATACCTTTGACCCAAGTTTTGTCTTGTTCCAACTCGTCCGATGTCCAGGCGAAGCACATAAGTCCTTCTCCGACTGCCCAAAACGGTTTGGCGTACTCCAAAATGATCTTGTTCAAATGGCCGTATCCGAGATTGTTTATAGCCGTTTGTTTTTCTTCTTGCAAAGGGGGATGAAACAAGCTGGACGCTCGGTTTTTCAATACGCCGAGGGAAACGGTCACTATGACAAAATCAGCCGGTTCGTCATTCCCTTCTTTAATTCTCACTATAGCCCTGGGAGTTTTAGTGTCCCATTTTATAGATTCGACTTCTTTACAATAGATTATATTGCCAGTGGGAATGTCCCTTAGCAACGGTCCAAGAACGCCGACGAATCCCAAAGGGACCCGGACGGGATTTCCTGGGACGTCTATAAAGCTGCCGAACAGATCGGAAGACATCTTGTTCAGATCTTCTCCCCACCGGGTCTTGATACAATTCGCAAGGCCGACTAAAACTCTGGAAACGTCGTACCTCCAGTCTTCCGGTACGAGCACGAGCTCTTCCTTGATCCTTTTGGTGATGAAGTTTTTCAGATGGCCGTGGGATTTGGACGTGTCGATGCTAAAAAGCGAGTAGGCCTGGTTCTTTATCTGTTTGAATATGTGAAAAGCGGATTCTGCGATGTGTTGCTCGATCGCCCTCCCATCGCTAGTGAGACAAAGAAGTTTGTCCCCGGTGAAGCCTGTACGCTCGGAAAGCGGCTCTTTCAACAGTCCTTCCACACAAGCGAGAGTGAAGATCGGGTTAGCTACGCTTCCTCCGTTTATCCACTGGGCACCAATTTCACCAACCGCATCACCAAGCCAACAAGAGTGTATCCTCCCTCCAGGTCTGGAACATAATTAAACGTGACCTAAACATAATATCCCCCTTTTGTGCTGTACACTATAAAAAAACTTATAGAATCATAATAGCTCATTATAGTACGGACGATGTTAAAATATTTAAATAAATTTCTATACTCTTGGTAATGAGATCTTTAGAAAATAGAATTTTTTTTTAGAAAAGTAATAAATCCTACAAATCTTCCGTGTGGTAAGATATCTGTAAACAACGAAAACATGGGGTCTTTGCAGAATAAATATTTGTGCCGGTAAAACTACTGTAGCAATTATGCACTATTAGAGTTGATGGTGGTGTTGATCTGAGAGTCGGTGAACTCATGCTGAACCGGTAAACGGTCGTGTTTCGGCATTGCACCATCTTCAGTGGATCACTGGGAATATAACCGACATCACGACCGACCCAATGAACACCATACCACGCGCCTTGATGCAACTCCCCCAGCGACAACCGACGGACCCAATATATATAAGCCCAAGTCGTATAAAGTGACAGACAGTTCCTCACTGAAGAAGCACATGACTAAACCCGTTTGAACTATTCAACAAACCCGCGAGTGAAGAGACCCAATAAGTGACCCTACGCCGGTTCAGCATGTACTCAACTATTACTAGTATTCATTTCCTTTTATCACATACTGATATCACCAGGGCAGAAACTTATTAACAGACCTATCTGTCGCTTCGAGGACCTTATAGTTGTAGAAACCCGACTGGGAAAGCCTTTGCGCTGCAGAAAGGCCGGCCATCCCGGCGCCGACGATGACGACCTTCGGCTGGGGGGTCTTCGGGTCCAGGGCGAGAGCGTCTGTCTGGCATGTCGAAGTGACTTTTTTACAATCTGCGATCTCCTTTTTTCTGGAGAACTTCCTGAAACTTGTGTATATATTTTTTGTTAAAAAAAAAGCCAGATTTGAAAATACCGTTTATCGGCAGACTTTAAACAAACCTGTGCAACAAAAGAGGAAGGGAACGTTTCATCAAAACATGACTGTATGTGTGAATATATGGTGTTATACCATCCATCGGTTTGGAGTTTTCTGCACCGCCCTAAAAACTGTAGTGAATATGTGTTCTACATTTTTCCACGTTGAAACTTACGCAATTAATTACTCGGATTGAACCCTAGAACTGATCTGCCGGAGGCAAAGACAGTCGACGCATTTCGTTTGATGCACGGCAACTAGACCTTTTGCACAAATCCGAAAGAAATGAATTTCAATTTCATTTATAATTTTGAGTTCTGCAGAATTTGGAAAAAGTTTTTACACAAATGTTTTATATTTTCATTTTCTTACAAATTACATATGTTACATTAAACTTGATAGCGGTAGGCAGTCTTCTCCGAATATAGTTTTATCGATCGGACTATTTAGAAAACAAAGACGCATTTTGAAATGTAATCTCAGGACAGGAGAGCTGTATTTTTTTAGCATCATTGATATGATTACGGTTTTAAATTGTTTTTTGGGGAAATGGAAATGAATCGTCCACGACATCAGCTGTTATATCGTTCACATGTACAAACCACAAATGTTTATACACAAATTGACTATAAAAACGTTAGAGTATGAAGATAGAAAATGAGTCAAATAGCTGGTAGGTTTTTGTATTAATTTTAATACGGTTACTTGATTCAGTAAGTTTTATTTCAGGAATAGAAAAAGCAGAGGGGGGAAGTATAAACAAGTGTGTCGAATACTGCAAATGGACGGTGAAGAAACGAATTCCCATCATCGAATGGCTTCCGAAGTATCAATGGAAAGAGAACTTTTTCTTCGACTTTTCCGCCGGCCTCACCATCACGTGCTTATGCGTTCCTCAAGGACTCGCTTTCGCCATGCTCGCCAACGTCGACTTAATCTACGGACTCAACACTTGCTGCTTTCCGGCGTTTATTTACGCCCTTCTTGGTACGGCGACGAAAAGCTCTTTCGGTTCGGTCGCCGTGACGTCTATGATGATCGGCCAGACGACGGTCAGGTTCGAAGACAATCCACAATTTTCTAAAGAAGAGCTGGTCTCATCCATGACGATCACGACCGGGATCTTCTACCTGATGTTTTTCCTCATCCGGCTTCACGTCGTTAAGGTCATTTTCAAAAAGCCTTTTGTCTGTGGATTTCTAACGGCTTTGGTCTTTTACATAATGATAAAGTCGTTAAAGCTCGTTTTGGGTATAGAAAATCTCAAGAGTCACTACGGCCCGCTTAATTTATTTCGCAATGCCTTTAACTTAGCTTCAAATATCAAACGAGCCAATGTGCCGACTATCATAATTTCAATAGTTGTGGTGGCTGTTTTCGCACTGAACACAGTGTTGTTTACCCCATGGCTTAAAAAACGCACGCGTTTCGTGCTTCCGATCGAGATGATAGTCATGGCAATCGCGATTGTCTGCTCTTACATATTCGAGTTCTCGAAGATGGGAGTTCCTCTCCTCGGCCGAGTGCCGACAGGACTTCCTAAATTGACTCCACCGTCTATAAAGGCCTTCAAAAGAACCTGGCTCGAGTCGTTCCTCATAGCGGCCGTCAACTACGCGACGACGGTTTCGAACATAACGGTCTTCAACGATAACTTGGACACTGAACAGGAGGTGCTCACCATGGCCGTCTGCAACCTAGTCTGCGGCTGGTTCCAATGCTTCATCTTCGGCAACTCCATGATGCGCACGGTGGTCGCATATAGTCTCGGGGTGACATCGCTCATGTCTGCAATAGTTTCATCTGTATTAATGTTTTTCACTATTTTGATCGTAAGTACATTAACTTCCCCCACCCCACAAAACTTCGATTTTCCTCATTTTTATGCGACACCCTCTAAAAACAAAGCGACGTTATGTAAGAAATTGCTCCCGACTTTAAAGATAAACGGAGTTTTTCAAGACAAAAGCATGTGCTACTTAAACTTCATTTTGTACAGATGACTAGTTATTGGTAACTATTTATAATACACTTTTAAAAATTTGATAAATTTTGATAGAGGACTAGAGAGATGCCTGTGATTAATTGAGAAAATCTTAACTTTCCATTTCAAAATCGTATACAGAAGTAATAACGATAAGAGGAATATTAGCAAATTCTAAAAGTTCAATTTTACTGAAATCTAAGTAAGCGTTGAAATTCGTAAACATTATTATTGTGATGTTGATACAGACTATATAAGAAAGAGTACCCATTTCTCGAGAAAAAAACAACAGACGTTTAAAAAATTTTAATTAAATACTATAAATCACTCCATATATGTTTAGCGGTCATAATGACCTATTATTTATTCTTTTTATCGAAGGTCTTAGTTAATATGAAAAAGCTAGTCACGAGCGGGATTCGAACCCACGACCTTCGGCTGCTCTAGCCACTTGAGCTCTCGACAGCTGCTAACAGAAATCACGATAGCTCAAGTGGTTAGAGCAGCGGAGTATTGAGCAGAAGGTCGTGGGCTCGAATCCCGCACCTGACACTAGCTTTTTTTATCTCAACAAAGACCTTAGATTAAAAAAAAATTAATTGAAACTATAAATTACTTTTTGGTTTTGTTAAAATTTAATATTTGTAAAAATGCTATAAACGAAACTTAAGGTTACTTTAACAATTTTTCGTGTTGAAGTGCTTGACAGTGACAGTTCCATTTGTCAGTTGTATTTTGCAATAAAATTATTAATTCTGATGATCACGTGGCTTTTATTGCTATGATGATCTCTTTCAATTTAACTTATAGACATAATTATTATTAGGCAAATCAATTTAGGGAACAAAATTTACCAAATTAGTTCGAACTTTGTAACTTGATTTTATGCACAACAAACAAAGCCAATTTGTCTAAAGTCAATTTGATCTATTTCAGGGTGGTAAAATATTCTCTCCGCTTCCTAAATCCATTCTCGGCAGCATAATGTTGACCGCGGCCACAAAGCTACTCATAATGCGCGTCAAGGATGTGAAGCATTTCAGAAAGTCATGGGAAGACGTCCTGATATATTTGGTCACACTTCTGACCACGATGATCATCACAATCGAAATCGGTCTCATCGTTGGGCTCATCCTATCGTTGAGAAAGATTCTGGACAGTGTCACCAAGAACGAGCAAGCTGCTAAACAGAATACTGGGCCACCTGTTGTACCGGGGGCAAATATTCCCGAAATCCCGCCGGAAGCTAGTTCGGACCTATTGTTACTAAACTTCCCCACGCCGCCCTTAATTACTTCGCAAGAAAAAATGGTTAAATGAACAGTAGAATCGCCTTTATAAACGAATTTTTAAAAATGATTTATTCAGTGAAATATTCTATATATTTATAATAAGGTATTATTTTGTGTGTTTCTTAGTGACCTGTTGTTTCATAATTTGTTGAAACCGTGAAGACCTGACAAGAATGGGGTAGTTTAGAAAAACATCTATTTCATTTTTTTACCGACGTTTCGACCTTTATTCGGGTCATCTTCAGCTCCTGGGTAAATTTCAAATCATACATTGATTGAAAAAAATACAATTTAAGATGTTAATATAAATTTTGAAGTATTTCATACTCACGTAAACTGTGGTGCTATTCTTGTAGTGTCATATTGGTGTTGAGTGAAATTGTTGTAAACCATGAATTTATATTCTGCTATTTTTATGTGATTATGACAGTGTGAGGACGCAGTAAATCTGGAAAATTTTCTTTAATCATAGGCGGATTTTTAACTCAAAGGAAGTCGAGAATGGGGATTTTCTGTATTGGATTTGTGATTCGGCATACAATATTGAAAAGGAAGTTAATTATTAAGTCCATTATGTTTAGTGGTCAGAGTGACCAAATTACTTCTTTCAATTATATTTTTATGTAAGGTTTTGGTTGAAACGAAAAAGTTAATGTAACGAGCGGGATTCGAACCCTCGACCTTCGGCGAAAGAGAGAGAGAGAAGGGTGGGAGAGATGGTGAGAGGGAGAGGAGAGAGAAAGAGAGACGAAGAGATCTTACAATAAAAAATTTCCGTACTTCGCAAATTTTAATCCTTTTGTAGCTAATTTTTTTATTCGATTCTTAAATAGCTGTTTTAATACAGTAAAACTTCGTAAAAACGCTCTTACGAGGTCTAAGGCAAAACAACCGTGAAAGCACCGGGACATCATAAAAATGGGTATGCGGGTATGTACAAATAAAACACAAAATGTACTTATTCAATTACATATTAGACATGCCTGGACTGAAATATGTCATTTTTTTAAACTAGTCAACACATTTTTAGAACATGCAATTTTCCAATCTACTTATTTTATTTTGTTGACGGTTTCTTTATTTATGCCGCTGACAGGGGAAAAAATGTTTGATCGCATCCAAGGCGTCGGTTGTTAAAGGTGTATCATCATCCACTAGTTTATCTTTCGATGCACTGAGATGATCTTCAATCATGGTCTCCAAGCATGAAATTTCGCTGGTCACAAGATTATCGTCAAAAACATCAATGTCTTCCAACTCAGTGTCTGGTTATAAGAGGTCTTTACAAGCTTTGTCATTCATCTATGCTCAAACCAAAAAAAGTCAAACAGTTAAAATCATAAAGAAGAAAACAAACAACTCCTACATTTCTAGGCGAGATGAATTCCCAACTCCTGCTTTCTTGAAACAATTCAGAATTGTTTCTTTCTCAACCCCCTCCAATCAAGGTTATTCCACTCAATCAGCACTAATAAAAATTACCAGTGACCTCCACTTAGCAATGGACCAACGGAAAGTTACTATACTTGTCCTTCTTGATTTTTCTAAAGCCTTCGATTCTGTCCCTCACTCTTCTCTCCTCTCTAACCTCGAATCGTTTTCCTTCTCCGCTAGCACCATCCGTTGGTTCCACTCCTACATTACCAATCGCCACCCAGCTGTCTCCCTTCCCAATGGCCTTACCTCCTCCTTCCTCCCTCTAAAATCTGGGGTGCCCCAAGGCTCTAGCTGTCTAGCATCTTTCCTATCCTTTTTTCCATTTATATCAATAATCTGCCCGACTCCATCCAGTCCTGTAACTACCACCTATATGCCGATGACTCCCAGATATACATATCCTTCCACCTTTCCGATCTTCACTCGGCCACTCACAAGATCCAAAAAGACCTAAACTCCATCAACGAATGGGCCCATAAAAATCCCTTGTCCTCAATCCGTCCAAATCCACCGCCATAATTATCGGGTCTAGGCAACTCCTCAATTCCCTCCCCAGCATCCCACCTCTCAAATAACCATCCCATCCCCTTCTGCTTTTAAGTTAAAAACCGAGTAGTAGTCTTTGACCAAAACCTTTCCTGGCATTCTCACATTTCCCAAATTTCCCGCCATTCCATTGCCTCCCTCAGCCTGTTTCGTCGGTCCTAGCTTCTCTTACCTTTCTCCACCCGCAAACTCCTTGTATCTTCCCTTATACTTCCCTTCTTCGATTATAGCTGTTTGGCATACGGTGGTCTCTCGGAGGGAGAGAACGCGCGATTGAAGCGTATTATGAATTGTTGCGTAAGATTTGTGTACGGCACCCCACGGGGATCCCGGGTGTCGGGGTTGTATTTCCAACTTTCCTGGCTATTCCCCTCCTTCCGTGCAAAGTATTTCCTAGGTTGCTTTCTTTTCCAGTCCATCCACACTCGTCGTCCTCCTTACATCACCCAATCCCTCCAATTCAACTCCTCACATCTCACTCCTTTTTGATCCGAGCCCCTAAACTCTGGACCTCCCTTCCCCTTTCTATTCTTCACGCTGCCTCCTTTTCCTCCTTAAATCCCACCTGTATAATCACCTCCTCTCCCTCCAAGCAGAGACCTCACGTTAACATTTGTTATTTTTGTTTAATATTCTCGTAATTTTTTCTTCTGTCCTGCCTTATTGGTATACATTGTGCCAAGATTTCTATTTTTTTTTTTTTTAACTTTTAACTTCATAGAAGGAACTTTCTTTATTTATTTCATGTAAATTATTCTTAGGGCACACCAGTCCCAAAATAAAGTTATTTTTCTTCTTCTTCTTCAATGAACCTGTTCCTCGATCCTGCAAAGTCAACTATTTAGGTATTACATTTTATAGAAGAGTAACAAACGATTAAAAAATAGACCGCCAACAAGCGATTTAAAATGCTTTATTACCTACTCAACCGACAATCAAAATTACCATTACAATCAAAACTTACATACCTACTCATACACATACTTACTTAAACCTACCTGGATGTATGGGTAGGTACAGCTTGGCAGCTTATGGATCGGATTATTTATAACAACACAAGTGTCTGGAAAAATATTTAATATATTTGTGTAACTTGATTCACAAATGGATACATTAACATAAAAAATATACACATTGGGTTTTAAGTAGAGAGCCTAAGTTGGTAAATGCGGTCGCATATACAATACATTCAGTAGATAAAAAAATTTTTAACAAAATTTTAACATAGAATATATTTTTGGCTATGAATTTGTAAGATAACACACTTATTACAACAGCCATTTTTCACTAAAATAAGCAAATAAAAAACATTAAAATAAGTAACAAGGTGTTATCCTAGATCTAACTTCACAATGATCACAGCTTTTTTTTAAATACACAATTACAAATCTACACTGTCGGTTTGGCTTGGAGGAGAATATGTCCCTCTACTTCCCGATCATTCTCCTCGTTCTGGACGACACCTTCGAGGATCGTCCGGAGTGAAAGGACGGCACCGACGACGAGACCCACCGTCACGTCGATTATCAACGTAGCCAGGAACGTTGCGAAGAAGATGAACAGGTCCTCTTTTGATCTGCTGAACTTGATGATGTCCTTTATACGCTCGTACAGCAGCTTGATCACGGCCGTCATGATGATGCAGCCGAGGATCGTAAGCGGCAACGGCTCAAACAGCGGGCCAGCCTGAAGGAAATCATCATTGCCAACTCAATGGACGTTAAACACAAATCCAGAATTTCATGAATCATTATGGAACAATGTTTTGAAAATACAAAATTTCCCAGTTTTATTTTTGTTTTGTTTTTTTCTAACCTCTTAAAACTCAACATCTTACAATTTTTCAATGCAAGGATAAATCATCAATCGTAATCATAATAATCAGTTATTTTTTAAATATTAATCTTGCAAAGATACATTTCAGAATCGAACATCGGTTTTACTTTGATCGTTTCCTATTCTTTTTGGTCTTATTTACCACCTACTTTGGTCTGTTAGATGCGTTTAGGCTTTTCGCCATCTTCAATAGTGGGTTAGTTGGGTTTTAGGATTGTCTGTCGCCGCCTTTAAATGATTTACATAATTAGGTCTAAGCATTGTGATGCTTCATTTTTTCTTTTTGAATTGTAATGCGACTTGTTAGTTTATGCAGTTAGTAAGTGTGGATTTTTGTTTTGAGAGATATATTATTTGAAGTGCAACCAATGCTTTTTCACACTAATTGTTTTGTTAGTTGCAATGTTTCTTTCACTTTTGTTCGTTGCTGCTTGTTACCCCAAATTGTCGGTACTGGTAATATTCAATAATGTTTTTCCTTCTAAGTTATTCAGTATGTTCATTTTTCATCTTTTTTGTACCTCATGGATTAATATCAAACATTGTTCTTTCCTTTTTCCTTCATTCTGATATATTTTCTCATATTATTGTATGAATGCAGTCTTGCCAACAATTTGTCTCAGGGTTTTTTAATTTTTTGTTGTCTTTAGAACAGATATGTCTAGTTTGTTAAATAAATTGTTTGTTTTTAGTTTCTTTACCAGTGTGGTCCATTCTATGACATTTTTTACTAATTTATTAATTGTGTATATGTTCCCTGCTATTTTTTGTTTGTAGTTTCTGTTTGTACTTTTATACTTTTCATTGGTCAGTAGTTTTTTTAGATCAAAACTGTCCGTTTTTTATTCAGAAATCGTGAAATGCGGTCTGGTGTGATGTAGGTTTCAGAAAAACATTTTCTTTATCTTGCCAACGTTTCGATGTTTATTGAGATCATCTTCAGGGCCTGGGATTTACAAACATTGTTTAACAAATAGATTTAGGATGTGGAAAAAAAGTGAATTTATACAATGCAAAATATATTTTTTTATATTCAATCAAAGTATTTCTACTCACTCAAAGTGTTTGTCTTCTGTGTAATTCTGCCATTTACATTATTTAATTATTTAATTACACAGAAGACAAACACTTTGAGTAAGTAGAAATACTTTGATTGAATAAAGAAAAATATATTTTGCATTGTATAAATTCACTTTTTTCCACATCCTAAATGTATTTGTTAAACAATGTTTGTAAATCCCAGGCCCTGACGATGATCTCAATGAAGATCGAAACGTTGACACGATAAAGAAAATGTTTTTCTGAAACCTACATCACACCAGACCGCATCTCAAGATTTCTGAATAATTATCGATTAACGGTCACTAATCACCACCCTGTCCGTTTTGTTTTTGTCTTATTAGTAGCTCATGATGTTGGTTGTATTTATTTAACCAGTTTGTCAGTTCTAGTCTTTTAAGTCTCGTGTTTATATTCCACGTTAGTGGCGCGTCATTAGTTCGCTCCCAGGTATGGCACGTGGTTTACAGTAGGAAGGAAAAATATTGAAGTAGATGGGAGTACAGGTTTGTCGACGGAGGTTGAAAGTAATATTTATCGCTTTCTTGGTGTTTAGCTCGGGTACAACTAGGTGTATCCCTTTAGCTCTGCACTGTTGGTCTATGAAAGGAAGATGTTGCAGGTTACGGGAAAAGAGTAACAGGATTGTGAGGAAAGACTGTTGTGTCATAGCGAAGGTAAGGATAGAAGAGTCACAATGCGTAGGGATATCAACTGATAAAGGACAGGGGTTAGGAAACTACCTTGTGGGACGCCGATTTTGATAAAAAAAAAGAGCAGTTCCCTCGCTAACATGGAAATACATCGAGGTAGCTATGTAAAAGCCAGGATGGCACACCGATCAAAATCAAAGGAATGCCCAAGAACAATACTGTCCCGGCTGACGGAGGAAAAAAAGATGTCCACTATGTGATGACACTAGTGCGGAATCAAAACTGATACATGGTAGTCTAGATTCATTTTAGGAGTCACCCCAGGATTTTCTCCAAAATTTGCAATAAGCTGCAGACGTCTAGAAGTAGGGCGTGTTGGTTTTGTGGGTTTGAATAGGTGGTGCAACCTATTGCTTTCTTGGGGAGATGTTTAAGGATGTGAGATGTTAATAGAAATGATTTTAAAAAAATTACAACTCTTACAATTCATGTCGAGAGACGTTTATAACTCCTTAAACCTGATGATGTGCGTTTAATGCTTGAAATAGATAGTTTTCAGAAGACAACAAGCTGTGAGTAAGAAGAAGAAGAAGTATCTTTTAAAGAGATGTGAGATGTTATATAATCAAAACCAAAAACTCGTTTGAGATGATGTAACGCATACTAAATATCTTTAGGGTAGAAAATTAGGTGGTAGAGATAATGATATGGGAGACATTAGTTATTCGGCTAAATTATGGTCAGTTAAGTTTTCACGGATGTAAAAAAGCCGAGAAATCGAATGAAAATAGGTTTTGCCAATGTTGCGCAAGAGCCTTTTTTTATATATTAAGTTTCATATGAACAAGGGTTTGTGTGTTGATCGCGGTGTTTAGTCGCTATATGTACTGTGTTGAGTTGTTGACTGATTCTGCTATGGCTGTAATGAATTGTTCTATTTCTGTGTCTACTCGGACGATAACGTTACTTTAAAATGAAAAATGCCAAGTCAGAGTAACGTGGATTAAAGAATATAAGTGAATGAAGAAGCTGACCATAGGGCAATACAAGAATCATTAAAATTATTACCCATTTCACACGCTGAGAGGGGCTTGAAGTATAATCAAAAAATGGTAGGAAACATCAAAAGAAGCCCTAACCAACCCGACTCGGGACCTCCTTGACCCTGATCGTATACACTGAGTGCCAGCAATGGTCTCAAAGTATGTGTTCTACCGGTGTAGTGCTGGCATTAATGCTAGTGTTGTGCTGTGTGATACTTTAATCATGTGTACATATTTGTATAGTATACTATCATGTATAGGTAAAAAATAAATTAAAGAAAAAAGTCTGCCTGCCATGTTATGTACAGTGTACCTGTTGACCTTTAGTGAACAACAAATTGTCATTCTGTGTGAAATACCTCTCTGAAACAAAATATTTTAATCCAACAAAACATAAGAATTTGAAATAAAATTGCCTAATCTCCAACAACCATTTATCTCTGTTGTCACAAAATCTGATTAAGCGAATTAAAGTATTTTAACTGATTAGAATTTGACTTGATAAGCAACGTGGTAGAATTTATAAAACGTCAGCGTTCTGAAAAATCAGTGCTATAGATTTTTTTTTTAATTTAAAAACGTCTTTATTAAATGTCAGTTTTGTCTTATTCATGACAGAAAATTACACAATTTCCACAACATGCATAATTCTGAAAATATAGTCCACACCTATCGATGCAAATTTTGGTTGAAAGAAATAAATGGAATAAACCGTTTGGTCAATAAATGTTGAATAATTATTCTGTATACTTACATAAAGAATTATGATAAACAGTAAAAATGATGAGAACATTGTTGCGAAAAGAGTCCTTATCCCGAGGTTGATTGCGATCATGGTTCTCATCATGGAGTTACCGATGGTGATGCATTGAAAGTTACCGCAGACGATGTTACTAACGGCCATGGCCAGGATTTCTTGTTCCCGGTCCATTTGCGGATTGAAAAGCAAAGTCATGGAGGTGGTGGTCGTGTAGTTTATCAACGCGATAAGCACAGCTTCCGGAAACGCTTCAACATAAGCGTTCAAGTTAAGAGGAACGATTTTTGGCAACCCGGTGGGCACGGTCCCGACAATGGCCACTCCCATATCTTTAAATTTCAAAAAATAGGAAAACACAATCGCCGTCACCATGACGATTGTCTCTATAGGGATCACGATAGAAGATCGTTTTTTCAAGAACGGCGTCAAGACGATCATATTAAAAAGGAACACAGTCATGGTGACGGCTGATATGATGAGGGTCGGAACATGGGATTCGCCCACTTTCGAAAATATTCTTATAGAGTTGTAAAAAAAGTTGAAATACCCGTAGTAGGTTTGAACGTTAATCCCAATGAGTTGACGGAGGGATTTTATGAGGATGTGAAGTGCACATGCCATGATATACCCTGATACAAACGGCTTTTTAAACACGACAGTCAGCACTCCGAGGCGTAAAACGTACATTATTAAGTAAAATATGCCTATAGAGATCGTCAACGCGGCCACGAACTCGTCCTTTGAAAAATTGGACGTTTCTTTGTCGAATTTGGATATGGCCTCGCCAGAGAGCATGGATCCGATGGCCACTGGGCCGAAAGCGCTTATGGGCGCAGTGCCTAAAAGTGTGTAGACCAAAGCCGAAAAACAGGCTGTGTTCAGCCCATAAATGAGATCAACGTTGGCAAGGACGGCGAAGGCCAGGCTCTGCGGTACGCTCACGCACGCGATCGTTACACCGGCTATCATGTCGAAGAACGTGTGTTCCTTCCATTTATAATTCGGCAACCAAACAATAACGGGAAATAAACGTTTAAGTTTTACTCGTAGTTTTTGGGGAAATGATCTTTTGGGTGATTTAATCTGCTGTACTCCTGAATCTGCAACAGAAAAGGTATGACATGATAAATCCAGCTATAAACAAACACTGAGGATGTGAAACGCTGAAATCGTTGATAGACCAAAACAGGGGTAGGACCAAAAAACCTTGGAAAATTTTATTTTTTGGGGACTGCTGTGGAACCACTTGTGTTGTGATACTTTGACAATATAGATGCCATTCTGCATATTACTAATGAGTATGGTATCAATTCTCTGATTTCTATACTGACCCTCTGTTGGGTTTCTAGGACATTTTTTCTTGTTCAGTTGGATATTTTAAAAATACAGATACCCTGCCTACACCAGAGATAATTAGTAACGATATTTTTTCTTGATAGTAGCGACGCCATCCAATCCTAGTAATGAATATAGAATCGATAGCTGATTTCGAAACTCTGAAAATATCGGCGCTATTACGCCTGCATTAGTAATCATATACTGATGGTGGTATTTCAAAACTTTGACAATATCGATACCGATCTGCCTAGACAAATAATAAGCACTGAATCAATACTTTTGTTCCGATACTTTAAAAGAACCGATACCATTTTTCAATACCAATTCGATACCAATTTAATGAGTGTAGTATCGCTATTTTTATTTCAGTACTTTGATCATAAATAATTTGTAGAGCCCCAAATAATTATTCTTTAAATATATGATCTCAATGAAAAGCCTTAGATAAATAAAAAGAGTAATTAACTGGAATAATTTATATGGTCAATTATGAACACTAAGGAAATATGAATTAATAAGTACAGTATCGATACTTTTGTTTCGATACTTTCAAAGAAACGATTAAATTCCGCCTACGTTAATAATGAGCGTAGAATCGTTATTCTTGTTTCAATACTTTGACTATATCGATACCGATTTGCTTACCCAAATCATAAGAACAGTATCGTTACTTGGAAGTATCGATACCATTCTTCCTACAGTAGTAATGAGTGTAGTATCGTCATTGTTTCAATACTTTTTTTTATAAATTATAAAAGGCCATCAACCGCTTTAGGTCATTTTCCGCCTTAAAAAACTTTCAAGCTGGGTGGTGAGTGGGCCACAACCCCAATAGCGGCGGAACCAGGGCCCCGGCAACATCACACGCCCCGGAAACCCCTTCACAACCACTACCAGATGGGCACCCAAACCGCACCCTAAGACACCTCCCAACATTGAGTGGATTACAGATTATTGCATACTGAACTTGAATGATTTTGTATTAAATTATTATATCATTTTTTCTTCATATTTCCGAAATTAGTTTAGTTTTTTTAAGGAAAGTTACTAGTTTGTCTATTTGGTCGAAGTCATCACCAAGCGAGTCTTTGATGTTGGTTGGAATTTCCAACCGATGTCTTTCTCCTACATATTTTTTGCAATTTGTCAAAATGTGTTTAACTGTTATTCTTTCTGTGCAAACATCACAATGCGGAGTCTCTTTTTTGCCAGGAGATAAGAATGAGTAAGCCTACAATGACCAATTCTGAGGCTAGCAACCTCGTGCCTGGAACTTCTATGAGATGAGGCCCAAGGTTTTACACTGTTTTTTATCTCTGTAAGTTTGACATTAGAAGTCGTTTCCCACTCTGTTTGCCATAACTGCCAAGATTTTCTTTTATGCCAAGCTGTCACATCGGATTTTGATGTTTTTGTAATTTTAACTCCATTAAAGGACGGCCTGCTTTGCCAAATGGTCCACCTTCTCATTGCCAAATATTCCGCAGTGTCCAGGAATCCACATGAAAACTACTCTATTTCCCTGATTTTGCAGAGATTTAATGGTAAATAGTTTTTTTTTTTTTTTTTTTTTTTTTTTCGAGGTCATGATAGCTCAAGTGATACCATTCTTCCTACAGTGTCCTACAGTCCTACACGATGAGTGTAGTATCGTCATTGTTTCAATACTTTAACTTTATCGATACCACTTTGCTTGCCCAAATCTCAAGAACAGAATAACGTCACTTTTATTCCGACACTTTAAAAGTATCGATACCATTCTTCCTAAACTAACTTACAGTAGTAATGAGTGTAATATCGTTATTCTTCGTTCAATACTTTGAAAATATCGATACCGGTCTGTTTACGTAATCATAAGAACAGTATCGTTACTTTTATTCCGACACTTTAAAAGAATCGATACCATTCTTCCTACACTAGTAATTATTGTGGGATCGACATTTTTGTTTCAATCGATGATTTACAATACTCTTTAAAAGCACAGAATCGATACTTTTCTTTTGATACCGAAAAATATCGACTAGAAAACATCCTTGTGTATATTTTTTCTTCCTTCTTTTTTTCATGATTTTGGCTAGCTGCCTGGAATATTCGAAGCGTTAGTGTAATCTTTCTATATGGAAAGACAAATTTTAACTTGCAGTAAGTAAATAGTATAAGCAGTCCAAAAAAAAAAAAAATGTACACTGTGAAGCTTATCAGAGGAAACTTGAAACTGATAGATGAATATCTTATAGATTATTTGTAAGATGGTCAAATTAAACTAAAGATACAGTAAAAATCCACTATTTATCAGTAATAACTGATTTGCTACTTTATTTAAAAGTAGTGCTCCTTTCGGGAACACACTTTGCCAGCATAAATTGTAAAACAAATCAAGTGAGCCTATTTCAGCCTGGCAAAAGTTAAAAACATTATGCAACGGATAAGATAACGATGCAAAACAGAAACATATCTGCGACTAATCCACAAAAGTTTTATTGAAAAAAGTTGTGATATTTTTCAAAATCCGTTGAGTTTGCAATCTAACTCATGCAACCCACAAACAAAACAAGTAGAAAATTGATCGATGTATTTATCGACATTCAAAACGCAGTGAAGGTAAAAATCACGGATCATTGTATCAATCATTTACTGAGTAAATAATCTGACGCAAGACGTACCGAGAATAAACGATCAATGTGTAAATTAAAAAATATTGCACTTGACGACTAATTAAATGGTTAATGACGCGAGTCACATAGTAAATCAATTGATTTTGTAAATGATTTGATATCCTTACCTTCGACCATTGTCTCTCCGTCCATCTCCCCCTTTTGTTGAAATTGGAAATCTCTCAATCAGTGCGTCAATGTCAACTCATGAGTTGACAAAATGTATGAAAGAGGAAGAAAATGGTGACGAGCGAACCGGCCGCTTGAGCCTTCATAGAGTAAATGGTTGTGCCGTTGTGGATTGTTCGTAACCTCGCAATGCTTTGACGTGAGTGGACAAGCACATCATTGGACGAAAGCTAATTGCGTCAATGTCGAAGTTACAAACGGACGAAAGGATAGAATTTGCGGAAGGTTACGCTATTGTTTGTAAGACGTCAATTTTCGAGTAATTGACGTACTACAGTTGTATATTAAATAAAAGTATTTTGATATAATTTTATATTGAAATTTACAATAATTACAAATTTATCATGTACAATTTGAGCCAGATTATTCTTTGCAGTAATTAGGAACTTTTCAAAGAGACTGACTAGATTCAACTACCTCAAAGATAAAAAACTTTGAAAAAGGGCTCAGTTATTCCAAATCAAATACAAAGGCGTATACATTTTTAATTGATAAAACTAATTACAAGTTAAATTAAAGAAATAATCCGTAAGTTGTTTCAGCGAGAAATGATGAAGGTCACCTGTTGGCGATTAGGGCATACAAAATCTCAAAAACCCGGGGAAACACAATGAACGGGTAACATGGCTAATGAAAAACAGACATACAAGCCAGAGGATCTGCAAGACCAACCGAGGCCCAGAGCCTTTAATTGGGATAACAAGTTCAAAAATAAACGCCTTTGTTTCTGAAAGGATCTACCAAAAACAAAAAGGAAAATGGCCGGACCATAGAGAAATAGTAAATTCATGATTAAAGCACCCTCATCAAAGCCAGCAAGCATATTATTACAGTTAGACAAGGTAAAACACAGGAGTAATAGGGCTTTATACCGGTCACTAGCGTTTGAAAAATCATCTATGTAACATAGGTATACTCAATGATGAACCCATTTGTGTGTTATGAGGAGGAACCATGAGAAGGAAAAGCCACCCACATCATCTTTAAATGCGAAGCAACTGTTCAATGGAGACATGACCTGAAACACAAAGGAAATGGAGGGAATCAAATTGTTGAAATGACACTTACTGAGTATGATCAAATAGATTGCCCTGACTAAACAATTAAGAAAGTACAATAAGCCAGAATGCTGCAGTACTTGGGGAATATGAATCCTGATGTTCGAGTATCCTTATTTATCATGATCACTTCCTTCATGATCACCTTCCTAAGAGAAGGATCAATTTGATTGTATTGAGCTAAGGAACTAGGAAAGTGCAATAAATCCAAAGAATACAAATCCTGACTTTCTAGTATCCATATTCATTATCAATGACGTATCACTTCAAAGATTGATTTTATTGCACTGAATTAAGGAACTAGGAAAGTACAATAAATTCGAAGGCTGAAATGCTTGAGGAATAAAAATCCCAACTTTCTAGTATCTTTATTCATCAACATCATCATCATCAATGACCTAATACTCCTAGAGAAGGTTTGATTTGATTGCACTGAACCAAGGGACTAGTAAAAAACTAAACATGAAGGAAATAAGTACAATAAGCAAAAAAGTGCTTCGGGAACAAAAAAAACCCTGACTTCCTCATCTTCATATTACATAATCACCATCATCATCACCCAGTGTATACAAAAAGATTCATCAATTCAAAAAGTATTGAATTGTAAACATATAATATAGTAAGAGAAGTAAAATTCTTACATTTAATTAAACAAGTTTAAGTACTACAAAAGAAAACAAATATTAAGATAACAATGGTTCTTGAGCATTCTGTGAGTGCCAGTATGGAAAATAGAGTTGATTGTTATTGAAAATATAATGTAGTCATAGAAATAAATGTTAATTATATGTTTAAGCACAACAAAAGAAAACAAATATCTGTAACAATGGTGTTTAACTATACACAGATAAAAAAAACTATATATAGGTTTTTAAAGTAACAAAAACATTACATAGTTTACAATAACAATTAACATTATATGTTATCTTGTGTAAACTTGTAGTGGACAAATAATCTTTCTGTCTGTGTATAGTTTTTTTTCACAGAAAGATTATTTGTCCACTACAAGTTTACACAAGATAACATATAATGTTAATTTTTATTATTATTGGTTAAATATGTTGTAAATTTATTTATTTAGAAGTTTTGTTGCTCCAAAAAAGTTTAAGTTCTGGATTATTTATTTAAAACGTATTTTGGTGTATTTATGCTTAAAAAACATAATTTAAAAGACAGACATATTTTTGGTAATAATAATAATAATGAAAAAACTCTGAAAATAAATGTGCTGCTGTGACCTTGATTTTTGCATTGATGTAACATGGTGCACACGTAACCTCGAATGAGGTTATCAGTTTTATTGATAAGTCTTCAGTTGATAAGAACTAAATAGATTAAAACTTCAAATAAATTATGCTTTCGGAAACAATAAGTCGTAATCGGTTGAACTCGAATTTCAGACATTTTTAGTGTTTTCAGTGGACTAAGACGGAAATGTTGAACCTGGCCGAAAGGGACTTCGAGTTCCCCGTGGAACTGCTTGACAGGCCGAAAGCACTGATTGGGATCGTCGGCTTGGACACGGCGAACAACGCAGTCCACCGGGCCACTTGGGACGCCCTGAGGAATGACCGTAGAGCCGACGAATCGACCGTCAGGTTCAAGCTACTCCCCAGCAACTATGAATATCCAAGGCCTAAACCCAAAGTAAATACTTTAAATAGCAAGCAATAACACATAAAATTAGCCTATTGACTCTCTAAAACACACAATTACATTCATAAAAATTGTATGCTTTCAAATACATATAATATAATTACATACATAGAGTGTAATAAGTGTTAAGATGACTCCAGACATGCGGGAGTCGTCGATTGGGGGATGGGTGCTCGGTTATTCGCCAAGCAACAATATTCATTGCTTGCCATGCTCGGCTAATTGTCAGTTTACTTGTCCGCTTCAAAGAACACAAATATTCGTGAAGTAGCCGAACTCAAGGCATCCACACATTCTGAAATCAACTGGGTATGGATATAAGTTGTAATCATCAATCAACACTGCTTTTTATTTTTAATTAATAAAGGATTCCTAACTTATAAAGATGTATTAATGAAATAACTTCATAGTGTTGTTTCTGTTGGTTTGGAATGGATTGGCCCAACATAACAGTCTCAAAGTTCCTCTGTACCAAGCTGAACCAATAATTTGGAATGCTTCTCTTCCGAATCACAAAAATCGGAATGAGGTGTTCAAAGAATGGAAACGGATCGAAAGTAAGATGGGGTAACAGTACTCTGTGACTGAGCTTGTAGACACTACACAAAACAGTAACTGCAGATGCAGCTGTTCCTTAAATCTAGTCGAACTAGTTGAATATATCAATTCTCCAACTCGCAACTCGCCCCTCAACCGGTAGGTGAAAATCTAAAAACCTGTACAAACACTTTTTGAAGTTTCTGGTATTTTAGATAATCCATTAGTTTCAAAAAGTATTTTTACATATTGGTACAATTCCAAACTGATAGGTACCTTAGATCTAGTTGAGATAGTCGTACAACTTGTAACTCGCCCCTCAGTCAGTAGGTGAAAATTGTCGACCAAGTTTCCCTGTTGTCCATCATGATTGGTAATAGTTCGATGCATAATACATATTTGCTGTTTCCACATAAACTGGCTGGTTGTATGAACCCTGCATGTGTTTCTACAGGCGTGCTATTTGGTAAATGCCAAGGTGAGCATCTCGAGACTTGGCAGCTGTTCGGCAGTAATCAGCATTCGGCGAATACCGCATCCCTGGTGCCACCTTTATCTGTTGATGGTGGTCTGCAAGTCGGTGAACATATGTTGAACCAGCACTGGGTCATTTCTGCCAATGTAGGCAATCCCAGAATCTTTTCAACGTGTTACAAATGTGTTCGTATTTCCAGTATTGCATTCGAAAGACACATGTTAAAAATTACCGTGTGACTTATGAGGCAGGGCCATCCTGTTTCTTGAGATGAGTTAGTGTATACATACCTTAAGCGTGGGAAGAAAGGTAGGAACGGAATTTTAATAGGAAAGGATCAAATCATTAAAAGGATTGTTGAGGTCATTGTGAGTTGTGAGTGGTAAGGAGCTTGGACGAATCATGTGGGGACTTTTGATAAGACAGGCCTCAGTTCGGCTCCTTACGTACATAATGGTCAAGTAAAGTTTTGAACACAGTTGGTTTTCTGTCATAATTTTCTCATTGAGCGGAATTGGTCATCTTGAGGACTAAAACTGAAAATGGCTTACAGGCTATGTATGGCAGTAATAAGACCCAAATTATTCTGTCTGGACGAAAGCTGAGCAAAAACCAGCAGCCCAAACATTAGGCAGCCTACAAAGACTTGCAAACCTATTTATCACAGGAGAAATGAAAACAGCTCCATCAATCGCATTAGAGCCAGGGAAGCTAGGAAAAGTTCATTCAGGCTCCAAAAACAATTAAATTGAATAGGAACTAAACATTTATGGCACAAACAAAAATTAATAAAATCAGACAAACATTTGGTCAAGGACTGACTCCATGATCCCGGAAACACTCTTTACAACATCCTATACAGTCTCAACAGAAGATGAAGGATAAGAAAAGCTTTTTAACTTTTTTTAGCTTTTTCTTTGACAAGCTCAAATTGTTCTTTGATGTTGTATTGAGAGATCAAGAAATATTTGAGCCCTAGGGATAATAATAAATAATAAATTTTCTTTAAAGGAACATGTAGAAATCACAAAAACTTCCGTAAGTTTTAACATCCAAAAGCAAAACATTCTCTCCATAATAACCACTTAAATGTCTATTGGTTTTTTTGTCTGTACATTAATCATCTTGTTTTAATTATAAAAATTTCAAATAATTATTCTTTTTAACTAAGGTCTTGGTTGAGATGAAAAAGTCAGTGTCACGAGCGATATTCGAACTCACCTTTCGAATTTTCCCTCTTTTTGCCATTTTTCCATTTATGGGTTCGAATCCCACTCATGACACTACGTTTTTCATCTCGACCAAGACCTTAGATAAAAAATGTCTAACTGAAATAATTAATGTGGTCAATTATGATTACTAAACATGTATGGATTAGTTCATTAGTTCATAGGAAAAGTTCATTCAGGCTCCAAAAACAATTAAATTGAATAGGAACTAAACATTTATGGCACAAACAAAAATTAATAAAATCAGACAAACATTTGGTCAAGGACTGACTCCATGATCCCGGAACCACTCTTTACAACATCAATAATATTACAAATATTATTGATTTTTTTTTTTTTTTTTTTTTTTTTTTTTTTTTTTTTTTTTTTTTTTTTTTTTTTTTTAAAGTGAGGCTGAGATGAAATCATTCTTTTCATTATTGTGGCAGAGAAAGACGGAAATTTTGACTAGTCGTAGTTAAATAGTAGGGGTAAAGCACTAATATATCCATCTGGATGAAATGGGTGATAATAACTTTTCATCTCAGCCTCACTGCATTAAAAATAATTAAATTAAAAAGATATGTGCATATTAAGGTTAGTTATTAAGGTGTATAAATTATGTCGAATATAACAATTTTAGAAAACATCTTATGAGATGCACATTCCAAAAGGCATTCTGAAGAAAAGTTGGATGCGCAAACATCTTACATTGATTCCCGCAGTCGTTTGTGTCTTTTACAACTTAGAATGGGACGACCCGAATTGGGAAAGAAAGATGGCCGAATGCGAATCTTTAGTTCAGTCAATCAGGTAAAACATTTCGAAAGGTAAAAACTTTGAAATATTGAAAGAATTGAATTTTAAAGGACCGCTTTAGAAGAGCACAAAACTCAAATTTGTGTAGCCCTGATACAATTGAAGGCTTCAAACCTGGCGAGTGAAGATCCGGTCGTAAAAGATAAAGTGAAACAGCTTTTGGTAATAACTGGGATCAACGACAAGCATTTATTTATTCTACCGCATACAGAACACCTCCTTGACAGGACCTTAATGTAAAAATAACTGAAAATAATATCATACGTTCGGTGTTATTTTATTTATTTATTTTTTAAATTTTCAGATTGGAAAAAAAATTGTTTGAATTTGCCATACAGCATTATCATGAGAAAATAATACAAATTCAAGGGCATAGAGATAACTTGAATAAAAAGACACATCAGTATTTGTATGTGAGGCACCACTTCAAAATGGGATTTTTCTCAGAATTAGAATACCAACTTACAACTGCTCGAAAGTATGCATTTCAATATTCAAAACTAACACTTAATAATTTTATAAAATACATTTAACTATTTATTTAACCAAGTTCAGTTTAAATATTCATGTTATACTATAAAAAATAATAATTTATAGAAAGTAACCCTTTTACTTATTTCATTCTATGTTATGGAATGACTCTGTTCTTGTTTCCTTGTAATAATTTTTGTTTTATGGTTATGCTGAAAGATTCAGTTTTATTGTTGCACTAAATGTCAATGTGGAAAAGTCCTAATATAAATTTTATGTTTAACAGATATTATAGAGAAGCTTATGATTCTTTATTAGCAGTCAGGCTCTCTGATACAAATGAATTTGAAGTAAAGACAATAGCTGGGTTCATAGGATACAAAATATCAAGGATGGAATTTGCGTTGATGAAGTGCGACGATGCTATCTCCCATTTTAAAGCGCATATCGACCACTACAAGCATAAAACTGGGCCAAAAATGTTACTCTTTCAACATCACGCATGGCTTGCAAAACAGTCAGTGGTTTAGAAAACCTTTTTTTTTTTTTTTTTTTTTAAACAAGGGAAATTTCAGGTACAGCATGTTTGCTGATCTGTTCGAAGAGATGATACAACAGGGCAAACCATCAAGCCAGACCAAGCATCCAGGCTATTTCAACAAATTAGCAGCCAAACAGTCAGAACAGAGAAAGATTTTAGCCCAGGAACTATGTGCTGTGAGTAATTAACTAATTAAAATTTTGAAATGTTGCAATTAACGATTTATATAAGCTCAAATATGCACATAAACACAGGCACGAGTTGAATCTGTCACTTCTCATAGTCCACCTGCAATTCAAGATTTTGTAATTTACAATAAATGGCAGGCCTCGAGAGTCACCAGTGTTGGTAGTCTGGGATCAAACCTCAGTCTTGTCCATTGCACTGAGGATTGGCTCCGGGTGCTGTCAACAGTTAGGTCATTTTAGCCCCCCAATGCAATCAGTTCCTAAATCCAAATTCACTCATTCTTAAATACATCCTTTCCTATTTACATATCATTCACTCAAATGGTGGAGTACTCGATATTTCTTCATCATCACATCACATACTCATACCATAATACTAACCTAATAGGGGGTCAGTTGGATACTCAATATTTTGCTATCTACCCTCTCATACTACAGATTCACGCTAATAAATATATTCACTCTAAACACGCACTAAGGACAGTTCGCTCTCTTTCTTGATGATCTCCCCTCGACTCTCGAATGTGGAGTCCGAATAGGCAACGTTAGCATAAAAATACTACTTTATGCAGACGATATTGTCATTTTGGCATATACCACGCATGGGCTACAAAATAATATTAAAATATTTGAATCATATTGCACCCAGTGGAACCTGACAGTTAATCTAAAAAAGTCCAAAATCATGATTTTATTTAAAGAGAATAAAGACGACAAACCGCTGGCTTTTTAAGGGGGAAAGAATTGAGGTGGTGAACGCATACAAACATGATTTGTTTAGAAATGACCACTGACCTGATTTACATATCAACCTTAAAACTTCAGTTTTCATTTATTTTCAAAATTTTGAATTCCCCTTACATAAAATTGGCAAAAATAACTGTGATCGAAGTCATCAGGAATAAGACCGCCTGGTATATAGATTTGAAGTAACCTGTCCCATCTATGAAAACCTTGCTGATTGGCCAGCTCTTTCTTTAGATCTGCTATCTAGATTCAAGGAACGGCATCGGGACGATTGCTTACTCCGAACTCAGTCCTCGCTTAACTTTTCCTTATTCAAAGACTTGTCTCACCCCCACACCTTATTTAATCTACAGAGAGAGAACCTTAATTCTCTTAGTCTTTCAAACTTAAGATGGCTACTAAAAGCCCGTTGCGAGGCCGTTAACTTGAACTCTGAACTCTGGTTGAGGGGCAAGGAGGGGTTATGTGCCCTTTGCAATTGTCAATCTGTGGAAACAACACTCCATTTTATGGCCGAATGTACAATATTAGGCGAGATCAGGTTGTTAAATCCGTTAAATCCTTGGGATCTTTTACCCTCTCTGGAAGCTCTCTGTTAAATCTGTTGGATGGCCTAGATCCACGGGCGCTCATGCAGTACGTTCTCGACGCCTGGAAATATAGATTAGACCTAATTTGGAAGTTAATTTCTGACCCCTCCAATTCATTCATTCAATTTCCTTTATATATTATATGACTATTACATCTGATTTTTTGCCCCTTTACCATTAAGACTTTTCCCCTCTGTTTGTTTTCTATTATAAGTAGTTTTATTATTATGTTTAACCTTTTTTGATGGTGTGCTAGCATGTAGCGAATAATGTTATAACCTCTCTTTAATTCTTATATCTTTATTATTATTATTTCTTCACTGTTATTTTTTTTATTTTATTTTTTTTCTCTTAACAACGACCTCCGGCAGACGGATTGTGATCCATGCCTGTACTATGCTTTACTAATAATCATTGTTATATTCGTAGAAATAAAAAGCATTATATAAAATTTAAAAAAACAAACAAAAAAACTAACCTAATAGAGGGTCAATTGGATACTCAATATTTTGCCATCTACCCTCTTACCGTACAGATTCACGCTAATAAATATATTCACTCTCAACACACGCTAGGGACATAAAACATTCAATACAATAAAACAACCCGTTTCCTCAAAGAATCATAACAGGAAACCCAGATTGTATCCCTATGCACAAGTGATCATTATTAAAAATTATTATTTTATAAAAATATTTTCCACTTAATTCAATACATGCTTGTTTCTAAAAATATTGTTTTGTTGCAATTTTGTTATAATTTATTAACCTTTTTGGGACTAGTGGCAAAATGTTTTGTTCGCGTTTGCAATGGAATTATTGCACAAGCCCCCAATGATGAGTTATCTTGATTTTTGCCTTTTAGGAGCTAGGCACACTGCATCTATTGTTCTGAGTTTGTATCCAATGTCGACACTTCAGTTTGATTTTATAGCTTTTTCCCAATTCTTTTCGCAATCTGGCCTCTCAAACTTTTTTCCTTCCTTTTGCTGGACAACCATTTCTGGCCATAATATCTATGTCTCATTTACTTTTGCCTACCTGTCACTCCTGTGCTTACCACCCTTCTACCTTTGGTTACCATCTACCCTGTTGCCTTTTTGATTTTTTGCCTCCTGCCTGCCCAGTTGGTTCAGTTTGAGTTTTAAATTGTTTATGTTCAGAGTAATTTTTGGAATAAATTGGTTTTGATATGCTTGTTTTTGTTATATATATATATATATATATATATATATATATATATACATTTTTTTTAAACTCTGCACTCATGTTTAAAGATAAATCATTTAGTATTTTTTTATTTATTAGGTTTTAAAATACATAATGGAGACTTTTTGATAAATAAAAAGTTTCTATTAAATGTTACTTTGTTTCCCCCCCCTTACATTTACTTATGTCCGTTGAAAATTATAACATCTGAGGAATATACAGCCAAATTTTGAATGGAATTGGTGCACCTCGGAAGGAATAAAAGCTGTTCGCAGCAGCTCACATTGTAATTTATATTCTTAAATAGTCTTACAGACTAAAAGTGCATATGCTTGATTTTTTTTTTTTTAATTACGCATTAAAATGGCATTGTAATGTCCATATTAGGGGATGATTGTATGTATTGCATATATGGACCACTCTCTCCTGTTTATTCTTTGTTCTAACAATTTGCAGAATGTCCATTCCTATCCAAACCCTGACCCTTTAGCAGGTTGGGAAGACCTTGAGTTTTATGGTCAACGCCCCTGGAGGCCATGCAAATTGAGTGCCTTAGATCCTGCACTCGAGCAGGCTGGGATTTTAGCCCTGCAGTACAATGAAAAGTTGGTTGAACATTCTGTAAGTTGATACTTATAAGAATATGTAATTTAATACGATGTATTGTATTTTAATTAATTTTATTCAAGAACATCATAATAGGATTATTGGGGAATGCAATTTCACAATTCAAAACCTTTAAATGTCCAAAAATGAGGCAGAATTTAGGTAAGTTTTCATGCTAATGATTTCACAGTTGTTTCAAACAAAATATAATACTAACAATTATAATTGATTCACAGTTATCCTGATGGCCGAAGAATATTACAAAGCAAAAGATTATGGTAAAGCGCTGACGTAAGTCTATAAATTTTATACTTAGATTTTTCTATTTCAAAGTTGTCTAAGTTGTTCCATTTTATAAAGGCTTTTGATGCACACATTTTGGGACTATAGAATAGAAAAATGGTTTTTGATCGCTAACAAATTAATGGTGATCGCCATGGCTTCGGCCTATCTCACTGCGAGTATCACTGAGTATGCTAGATTGTGTCTTGATGTGATATCAAGGCCCACTACAGATGATAATGATGTGTCAAGAGCATTGAATAATCTAATTATTTTGACTAAGGTAAACAATTGTTTTAATGCATTTTTTTTTAAATTTTAAATTTTATCTTGCTTTATTTTAAGGGTGGGATACCGGAGCCTGAGCCAGAATTAAATCCGAATGAGGTGGAGATGGCACGCGGGCTGTGGATGACAGCAAAAGCGGACGAATTGATCTTGGTCGACACATCTGTATTCACATGTCCAGTTCAATGTAAAATAGTGTTTGGCAGGCATGATTACAACTGTGTTGAGATTCATGTTGTCTTAAGGTATTATTATTTTTTTAATTTAAAACCAAAAATTATACTCACTCAATTAAAAATAAAAATGTAATGAAACGTTTTGAAAATGAACATGGATATGTAAGCTAACCTAATTCGCTCTAGCCTAAACAAGGCTCCGATATCTCAACACTCCCAATCACGCCAGAAAAAAAAAAAAAAAGTTTTCATCTAATCTTAACCAAAATAAAATAAATTTTTTAAAATTAAATTTCATTATTTTAACATTTTTGTTTTTCTAGTATAATCTCCAGATTAATGACATATGTAGTGTTTATTTATGTTTAATTAAACAGGACTGTAGTGTAAATGATCCATTTTGGCTTCTTTTTTTTTTTTTTCAAAATTTTGTTATAGGTCTAATATACCTCAGCCTTTCACGTTTACAAAACTTATGATAACTACGCTTGGCAGTGGCAGCCATAATTTGAATCATGTTGTTGCTACGCAACTCAATTTCAACTACGGTGAGGTCAAAACGTTCACTTACTCCTTTGTACCCAATTTTCATGACGTTGGGAAGCCGCTTCAGGTAAACTCATTTTGATTTAATCATTCACAATTTTCTATGTGATCAATCATGATTTCAAGGTATCTGCTGTGTTGTTAAATATTGGAGATATTGAAGGGAAAACTGTCTGTTTGAAGTTTAATGGATTCGGACGGGACTCGATTTCATTTCATCCGGAGTTGCTTTACTTTAAGTAAGAAATGTTATTTATTGTAGTTCCTCTCCTTTGATATTACTAGTTTCAATGTGTTTAAAATGAAATTTTCTTTCACTTGGGTGTAATTGTGTTATTATTGATTAAATTCTAAGCATATTTCTGGCCTTTTGAGATGGTACAAAACTACTTGTCAATGGTACAAAGCTAGTTAGCCAGTTAGTTTTAGAAAAACCGCCTTCTAACCAAATGGCACAAGGACATTTTTCAATCTCATAATAACCGTTTTCTGACTCAACAGTTCAAGGCAATTCTTCAGTTCTATGCATAATAACCATTTTCTGACCAAAAGGTCCACGGTGACTATTCAGTTCTAGACATAATAACCGTTTTCTGACCCGACCGTTCCTGACGACTATTCACTTTTAAGGCAAAATAACCGTTTTCTGACCCGACCGTTCCTGACGACTATTCACTTTTAAGGCAAAATAACCGTTTTCTGACCGAATGGTCTAAGGTGACTATTCAATAGGAGACATAATAACCATTTTCTGACCAAAAGGTCCATGGCGACTATTCAGTTCTGGGCATAATAACTGTTTTCTGACCCAACGGTTCAAGGTGACTATTCAATTCTTGGCATAATAACCATTTTCTGACCTAATGGTCCAAGGCGATTATTCAGTTCTAGGCGCAATAACCATTTCTCATCAAACGGTCCAAGGTGATTATTCAGTTCTAGATATAATAACTGTTTTCTGACCCGACGGTTCATGGCGACTATTCACTTTTAGGCAAAAAACTTTTTTCTGACCAAATGGTCCAAGGTGACTATTCAGTAGGAGACATAATAACAATTTTCTGATGAAATGGTCCTCGGCGACTATTCAGTTCTAGACATAATAACCGTTTTTTGGTCCGATGGTTCCTGGTAACTATTCATTTTTGGACAAAATAACGTTTTCTGACCAAACGGTCCAAGGTGACTGTTCAGTAGGAGACATAATAACCATTTTCTGACGAAATGGTCCAAGGCACTATTGAGTTCTAAGTGCAATAACCATTTTCTCATCCAACGGTTCAAGGCATCTATTCATTTCTTGGCATAATAACCGTTTTCTGACTCAACAGTTCATGGCAACTATTCAGTTCTAGGCATAATAACCGTGTTTTTTTTTGTTTTGTTTTAATGCAACGGTTCAAGGTGACTATTCAGTTCTAGGCACATTAACTGTTTTCTGACCCAACGGTTCCTGGCGACTATTTAGTTTTTGGTGTAATAACCGTATATGGATCATAGCCACTATTTGATTCTTGGTATAACTTACCTTTTGACTGGTTGCTGCAAAGCCACTATTCAGTTCTAGGTATAATCTTCTTCTGATCAAGTGGCACAAGCCCAGCTTCTGTCAAACCAACCGAATTACGTTTAACTTGGCCAAGTCTCAATGAGGGGCATCGGTGGCCACAAGATTTAGGTATTGATATGGTGCTTATAATGGTACAGCCTTCATTCAAATCCGACATACTTACAAATGTCCCCCCCCATACCACCAGAACCTCGAGTTTCATATGGCCGGTGTTGCAAAAAAAATTTTTTTTTTGGCTATTTGTAGCAAGTCACTGTTTTTCCGAAGAACTAAGCATTTTGTAATTATGTCACTTGTACCCCAAGTGGACCATTTAAGAAATGAAATAGTGCTTTTCTTTCCAATGTCAACCTCCATTATTATTACTGTTTTTATCTTTCTTTTTCTTTCTAACCTTAATATCTATAGTGGAAAATAAAAAATTAGCTATTAAAAGATAAAATTTTAATCATGTTTTCACTGAATATATTTAATTACCCTGTAAATTGTTTTACTATAAATTTTTCAACAGACAAATAAGCGGTTCAGAAGGTGAATTTCTAAAATTGAAGCCACAGCTGACGTGCACCATACTACGTAGAGTTGCCCAGGTCCAGGCGGAGATAAAGCACAGCCCCCCTGCGCTTTTGAACGAGTGTTACCCACTAAGACTTAGTATCACTAACAACGAATCTTCACCCGTCACTAAATCGCGTCTGACAATATCATTCCCGCATAACATTAACAAAGAAGTCATCCATACAAGTAAAAGAATTTTAAAATGAAGTTGAGAATATTCTATTGCTGATGATCTAATCTGACGGTTGTTTTTTTAAGGTAATTTTCAGGTAGAAGGAAGTTCAAATTTAATTCCTCTTCCCCTTTCTTTGGAACTTGGTGAATTGGGACATATAACTGAAAAATGTTTTTATATGAAATGCAGAAGCTTAGACAATAGAATACTTGATGTTAGAGTAAGTAGTTTGTTATAAATTTTTCAGTTAGTTAATATTACAAAAAATATTGCTTTTTTTGTGGTTTTTATATAATTTATATTGGATTAATTGAGTTTATATTTGTTTTACAGTTGGATTACTACATAGATGGCCATTTTTGTGTGACAGAATCACAGATTCATTTTAATATTAAAAAACCTTTTGAAATTAATACAAAATATATGTCGGCAAACTTTGATGAATTGGAGGAATTGTACACAAAAGAGCCTTTTCTAATTCAACCGCAGATAGTGTCGTCTTCTCCCTGGCCTATTACCATACATTCAACATCAGTCCATCTTGTGAGTATTCGACGTCGGCACTAAAACGTTAAAGTTTACAAGTGGCATTAATTTCTGTTCGTTGTTTAGAGTAAGTTTATGCAATTGGAAGGTACCTATGAATGCTTATTGAAGAACTGTGAACTAGAATTTGAAAACACGGCCTCAGAATTGATCTGCGCTTCCGCAAAATCTTTTTCTAATGATCCAGTTGTAATTGCAACTTTTACTGTTGAATGGGCGAGGTTTTTATTTAAAAAAAAGACATAATTTGTGATTTTTATTTGACTATAAGCACAATTTCAGATCAGAAGAAAATGTGACAACTTCGGTAAGTTGCGTCCTGCCAGAAAAGAAAATCATTGACATCCCTATTTCAGTGGTCGTTGATGCACCGGCAACCGGTATAATCAAGAGTCAGTATGTCGTTAAATACTTCATAACAAATCACAGTTCCAAATTGCACATTGTTGAAATCTACGTAGAGCCTTCAAATGAATTTACATTTGCAGGAATCAACAAGGTGAGTGTTTAAATTGATTTTATTTCTTACAATTGTACAAATACACGATTTATATTGCAGATGCGCCTATTTCTTTTACCTGAGAGTACTAAAGAACTCGAGTATCAGATGTACCCGCTTTGCTGTGGTACCGCTTCACTGCCCTATTTAAAAATCAGTGCAGTGAAAGACAGTATTGTGCCAAACTTAGAAAAAGTAGTGCTCAGAGCTCTTCCAGCCAACATATTTATAATGGTATGTATAATTGTTTAATTTCAATCTCAAGAAGTTAAAAAAAAAATTATTTGCTTCAGCCCGAAGGAAAGAAGAATAAAGGAAACCAGTTACAACTTCCTTCTCACAACATATAAAAGTACATTCAATTATATTTATAATTTATTTTATATATTTCTTTATGCAATATACTTAAAAAAATATATAAATAAAAATATTTATCATATAAATTGTCTGAGATTCATTTTGGCAATTATTTCAGCCATATCGAATCTAAATCGAATTTGGACCAAACTTGAAAACATTCAACAAAAAATACATGTAAATATGCAAATCTATTAAAATTTGTAATAAAGCTTATAATTTATTTAAAATGTTATTTGAATGAGTCAATAAAGATGACCCTTTTTTTAGTATTTCAATTGCTTATTTATTTTAAAAATCGTTTTATGCCTTCTAATGTGTTACTGATATTGATTTAATAACTGCTATTATTGCACTACTTTAAATAGTGTCCTGGTTAAATATGTTTTTTATTATTCCTCCTTACATATTTCTTTTTAACTTTTTTACACCCTGAAATAGACAGGCTGGATTTATTTTCATGTTTATTAACAAAACTGTCGAATGTTGTAACTTTCAAGTGAAATGTACCCACATAGGTAAAAACAAAATTTTTTTTTTCAAAGTTAAAAAGTTAGATCAAGTTTGGTAGATCTCAAGAATTCTCAATATAATGCCGAGTCTCCAGCCCTATAAATACGCTAAAATGATGTACAATATAAACCTATAAACCCTAAGTTAACCTAATTGGTTCAACAGTTCTGTGGGCACTTGAAATTCCATACAGCCGGTGTCTATATTCATGCCAATAAATACATTCATACACATTAAAAAATCATCTATCCTAAGATGATTTAAATGGTTCAACAGTTCTGTGGGCACTTGAAATTCCATACAGACTGTGTCTATATTCATGCTAATAAATACATTCACACACAGTAAAAATCATGCATTCACTATCCAAAGTTAACCTATTTGATTCAACAGTTCTGTGGGTACTTGATATTCCATACAGACTGTGTCTATATTCGCACCAATAAATTCATTCATACACAGTAAAAAATCCTCTATCCTAAGGTAAACTAATTTGTTCAACAGTTCTGTGGGTACTTGATATTCCATACAGACTGTGTCTATATTCGCACCAATAAATTCATTCATACACAGTAAAAAATCCTCTATCCTAAGGTAAACTAATTTGTTCAACAGTTCTGTGGATACTTGATATTCTTTACAGCCTGTGTCTATATTCACACCAATAAATACATTCATACACAATAAAAAATCATCTATCCTAAGATAAACTAATTGGTTCAACAGTTCTGTGGATGCTTGATATTCCACATAGACTGAGACTATATTCACGCCAATAAATACATTCATACACAATAAAAAATCATCTATCCTAAGATAAACTAATTGGTTCAACAATTCTGTGGATGCTTGATATTCCACATAGACTGAGACTATATTCACGCCAATAAATACATTCACACACAGTAAAAATCATGCATTCACTATTCTAAGTTAACCTATTTGATTCAATAGTTCTGTGGGTACTTGATATTCCATACAGACTTTGTCTATATTCATGCCAATAAATACATTCATACACAGTAAAAAATCGTCTATCCTAAGATGATTTAAGTGGTTCACCAGTTCTGTGGATGCTTGATATTCCACACAGCCAGTGTCTATAGTCACGCCAATAAATATATTCATTCACAGTTAAAAATCATATATCCTAAGATAACTTAATTGGTTCAACAGTTCTGTGGGCACTTGAAATTCCATAGACTGTGTCTATATTTATGCTAATAAATACATTCACACACAGTCAAAACCATGTATTCACTGTTCTAAGTTAAACTAATTGGTTCGACAGGTCTGTGGATACTGGATATGCCATGTAGACTGTCCATAATCACACAAATAAATAAATGTATTTATTTACATTGGGTCTCACACAGTTGGGTAGTCACCAGGGGTTTTGATATTACACCAATGGCTAACAAGTATCTGTCCCCCTAACAGACTGTAAAAGTGTATAAAATTAAATAACCTATAATACGTTGGTGCGTTTCTGGGTACTTGATATTCCATCACAAACACACCAAAACATACTATAAGGTTCATGGTAATAAATACATTTTTCCAAATTAATAAGAGACCTCTTAAATGATAAATTCAGAGCAGCTGCAAATAGTAGCTTTCTTTATAATGCTAGTTCTTGTTCCATGGCAAAATGAAATCAAATCTGCATTATTTATAATACATACACAGTTGTAAATATAAATAAACAAAGTAAAACACGATGTACATGGAAAATAAAAATGAACCTAAGATTGACCCTGTGGAACTCCAGAACTAATAAAGCCATCCAACTGCTCAGATATTAACTAAAAAAATTTACAAGTGGAGGAGCTGAAATTAAATCATTTGTGAAGCTTAGTTACATTCAATTTTTTTCAATATTAGCATGGATATCTTCTATTACTTTTAGCTATGACCAAATCTAAAGCCTATTTCAAGAGGATTGAGTAAATTGAGCAAATGTTGTGGGGGGGGGTTGATGTAGAACTATGACAATCCTTTTCTCCACTGCAACCTAAATAGATGTTGTGTGGAATCCATAAATTATACCCATGCCTTGGAAAAAAAATTTCCTGCAAGGCACTTTCCTTGGTTCCTTGTCCTACCAAAGTGGCTGTAACCAGGCTGATGCTTCACATTCAGAAAGGATATGTGCCAATGTCTCTGGTTCCCCCTGACAGAGTCGGCGTGTTTCTGTCTTTGCTTTGCCCATCTTCTTCAGATGATAGTTAAGAATTAGTGGCCGGTATAGGGAACTATAATTTTTCTCAAATCCTTCCTGCTGAGAGAGTTTCCTTTCGCCTTCCTTTTTGAGAGATTTATAGATCTTTTAGTTTCCATCATACCATCATACCTGTGGATGTACTTTATTTCCTTGTATCTCAGGAGTCAGTTGACACTCTCAAAAGCCCCTTTTGTACATAAATTTTAAGGGGAGAAGGTCGAGTGTTTCCATAACAGTGGTAGGGGAGGTATGCATTGCTAGTCTATGTAAATTTTGTAGTTTGATCTGCATCTCCTTGTCCAGTGTTTTTGGCCACCATGCTAGAGCTCCATATTTGACCAAGGGTGGGGTCCATTGTGGTGTATAACCAATGGGTTTATTGTTCAATTTTTACTGCAGAATTTCTGGCCAATGATTAGGAGAGCCTTGGCTTTATGCAGGATGTTGCTTATGTGTTTCCCCCATTTGAGCCTACGGTCAAGGGTTGTACCTAGGTACTTTATTTCTTGGAGGTACTTTGGAGAAAGTTCAGGCATCAACTTTTATAGTGGGAGCTTTTGTATTGAGCTTCTTTTTTTTTAATGTATATGTTTTCTTAGTTCCCTTTTGTCCAGTGGACTCCGGGTTTCCAGCAAGTCCGAGTTCCCAACTCCGTCGAGTGGGAGTGTTTCCAGAGCTTATTTAAATATCAGTCGTGTATGAAAGGTGTGCGGCTCGTAGTGGGACGGCCGTCGTGGTGGGAGGCGTTTGTCCAGGAGACTGGAGAGAAACCGGCCGCGTATTTTTCCTCCAGTCGGTTCTTAGCGTTCCGTTCGTCTAGGTCGGAAACGGATTCCACCCCGGCTCCTCGAACATCGAGGCCCGCACGCCTCACGCTTTTCGGATCGGACCTCGACCGTTGGACTGGATTTTAATTTATTTTACCTCAAGGTATTAAATATTATTCTATGAATTTAATAGGTTAGTTTACACATTTTACAACGATTAAAGCCCTGTTTGGTTGGACAAAACAGATACCTCAAGATCCTGAAATTTTCTAGACAAATTTGGCTTCTTTTTTTTTAATAGACAACAATCTTAAAAGATAAAAATTTTACCTTAGGGCAAAAGAACCGATTTATTTTATTTTAATTTTCTTTATTAATTTTATTATTTTACACTAAATACTGCTTGAAAATTCAACATTGCAACGAAAAAATATATGCTATAAATCATTAATATAAAAAATGAACAACATAAGTGCGTTTAAATTGTGCACAAATTCAACATAAAAATTTGGAAAAAAAATATTTGAAAAAAAGTCAAAAAATTAAGAAGAAGAAAGACATTTATATGCTAATGTCTGTGTAATTTTTAAAATGTTATACAAAACAATATGGGTAAAATGAATTCACAACATAGTATATGTATGAATTTTATTAAGTATAATTTTTGGTTTACATATTTGTTACTCTTCTTTTTCGGTTGTTGACTTTTTATATTTCTTGGGTTTCTTTTCAGGAAGTAGACAACCATCAAAAGAAAATGAGTTCGATGGTTTTCTAGTTCCTAAAAAGAAACCCAAGAAATACATATTTGTTCCATTATTGCACTTTTATTTTTTTTTTAAATACATGTTTAAGTCGTTTATAGTATTGACGGTAGTTCAAGTCATCCCTATTATAAATAAGCTAGGTATGTTTAATACATGTAGCCTGATGGAGTCCAATGTGAAAAACCTCCAATAATTCTTTAAAGCAGCATTTTAGACTGACTGGAGCTTAGCAAAATTTTATTTAAGACATATTTCCCCAAATGGGAGCACTCTAAGTGATTAATAAACGTATGATTCATAAATAAATTTTATTTTTACCGTTTATACACGAATACTTATTATTCACCAGGCTTTTTATGTTGATCTATGCTTTTCAGATTTTTTTTTTTTTTTTTAAGTATAGTAACTAAAATTAAATCAGGAATCCCGATACTTTCCAAGGTATTTAACATTCTTAGCCCATAGAACTGGTCAGTATTATATCATTAACAATATGTGATCTCTGTCGAGTAAACAGCATTACCTCAGTCTTGCTACCATTGGGTCTGATCCTCTATTTTTGTAAATTATTTAAAACTCCTTTCTATAGTTACTGATGATTCTCTGCTGATAGAACCAACTCTATAGGAGGCTCACATAAAGGCCGCATCATCGGCAAAGAGAGCTAGTTCAGCTTTTAGCTTGCAAATGTCGTTTGTAAAGACGTTAAATAAGGTTGGCCCAAGAGCAGACCCTTGAGGGACTCCAGCTCTTATACTTCATAAAAACCGTATGATCAGCAAAGAGAGCTAGTTCTGATTTTGGCTTTCAAATGTCGTTTGTAAAGCCGTTAAATAAGGTTGGTCCAAGAACAGACCCTTGGGGGACTCCAGCTCTTATATATCTTAAAAGCTGTGTCATCGACAAGAAAGACCCAATTCAGCTTTTAATTTGCAAATGTCGTTTGTAAAGACGTTAAATAAGGTTAGTCCAAGAACAGACCCTTGGGGGACTCCAGCTCTTATACTTCTTAAAAATCGTATAATCAGCAAAGAGAGCTAGTTCAGCTTTTAGCTTGCAAATGTCGTTTGTAAAGACGTTAAATAAGGTTGTTCCAAGAACAGACCCTTCGGGGACTCCAGCTATTATACTTCTTAAAAACCGTATCATCAGCAAAGAGAGCTAGTTCTGATTTTGGCTTGCAAATGTAGTTTGTAAGGACGTTAAATAAGGTTGGATCAAAAATAGACCCTTGTGGTACTCCAACTCTTATACTTCTTAAAAGCTATGTCATCACGTTTGTAAAGCCGTTAAATAAGGTTGGTTCAAGAACAGACCCTTGGGGACTCCAGCTCTTATACATCTTAACAGCTGTGTCATCAGCAAGAAAGAGCCAATTCAGCTTTTAGTTTGCAAATGTAGTTTGTAAAGCCGTTAAATAAGGTTGGTCGATGAACAGACCCTTGGGGGACTCCAGCTCTTATACTTCTTAAAAGCTGTGTTATCAGCAAGAAAGAGCCAATTCAGCTTTTAGTTTGCAAATGTAGTTTGTAAAGACGTTAAATAAGGTTAGTCCAAGAACAGACCCTTGGGGACTCCAGCTCTTATACATCTTAAAAGCTGTGTCATCAGCAAGAAAGGGCCAATTGAACTTTTAGTTTGCAAATGTAGTTTGTAAAGCCGTTAAATAAGGTTGGTCCATGAACAGACCCTTGGGGGGCACTAACTCTTATACTTCTTAAAAACCGCATCAACAAGAATGAGCCTGTCCTGCAGAAATAACTCTGGCACACAGTATTAGCCAAGCATATTTTTTATTCCACTTATACTGTATTGTCTAAAACTATATGTTTTATCTTTCTTTAAGTAAAAGCAAATTCAATACAAATAGTAAAACGATTTAAAGGAATAGAAGAATGGAAAATTACATTTGCGCCTAATGATTAAATTATTTAATGAATTTTGCGTTGTTTTTAATATTTTGTTTTCGTTGATTTTTATCCGTACTGTGAGTAGACGTCAGTATTTTAGCTTTTTCGTACATCTCCAATTGGACCAAAATACCCCTATTGTCCAAATTTTGATTCTCAATTCTATTCGATATATTTAAATTTTCAGATTCATTCAACCTACGACGTCATTTTTTCATAAAAGTATAGTTTCTCATAGAATGCTAGTCCTACAGTAAAATTTGATTACTCCGATGGAAAGAGCATTGTAAAACATTTGAGATTCATCGGTCGAATCGCAATTATTTATGGCTCGCTGTAGCCTTATGATATTAGTCTATTAATCATTCTTAACATGTCCTTTATCTTGAGATTTTAAAAAAGTAACAAGTTCATGGAAAGCTTCAGTCTTATTACTTTCTGGTGCTGTAAGCCTTTGTAGAACAAGCCGACACGATTTTTGTTTTATCGTAGGTTTTCCATTGCTTTTCCATCGGTACGGTCGGATTCACCACAGGATAAACATTTTATGAGATATGGGGGACTTTATGGAAAAGTCTTGAAAGGTTGTACCTAGAAACGAAATAGTTCTAATACAATTGAGAATTAGACGTTAATAATGAGTACTATTCTGAATAATTTAAGACGAATTTGATAATAACATTTTTTCATTACAAAAACCTTTACAATTTTCTCCTCAGCTGCTGATTTCATTATATAAATCGGTCATAGTCAGCATAATCAAGAATACCACAAAGTCAATGTCCAGATATTAGAGCCAATATCAAAGACGTTTGATTTTATTTTTAAATTGTTTTTTATAGCCTGCCATGGAAAATTTCATAAATGGAGAAGTTTCAAAAATAGTTCCAATCATTAAGGCATTTAATTGTTCTTGCATAAACTGTGAGAAAATCTTCCTCAGCCATAGTTGTTTTCGAATGGACATTCCAAGGCCTGATTTACATTAACTTGATCAGACAGTATATAGTTTTTCTAGAATAGAAAATGCATTTTCGAAAAAAAAATGGTCCAAGGAGAACAGAACGCTGTTTTATAGCCTGTGCGTCAACGAAAGTTCGACGAGGTCGATTTTGTCGTACCGTCCATTTATCCGAAAATCTGAGATCAGATCGGAAAACTGGAGACTCCAGGCGAAAACCGGGAGATCTGGTTACCCTACTCGCAAGCTTGGCTAAATGACAGTGTAGAGGATTTATATATTCAACAGATATGGGCTGTTAGATTATTATGACAGTAATAATGCATAAATTAGAGATGGAGTTTGTTTTCCACTGTGATTGTTAGATTTATACTTTCATTTATTTATTCATTTATTTTATTCTGAACGAATCTATTATTCGAGCGATTCTTGCAACATTTTGGTTTGAAGAAGACACGACGCACCGGAACGGCGATGGTTGAGAACCGTTGAAAAAAAAGTTGAAACCAATAAAGGGTTGATGGAATCCAGGCAGTTGTACAAACATGGAAGTGGCAACCTCATCAAAGTTCTGCGGATGGAGGAAAAGCTATCAAATCAGTAGGATATGATCGTTCCATGCTTTAAGGGGAGACCAGTTGGAATGCACCGTCTACGGATGAATCACACTATTCCCCGGTTATAAAGATCCTCTCCGGCTCCTTCGACACGTGGAGAGAAAGATCCGTATCAATGTGTCTTACTCTGGAGTAGATCGACCGAACACCCTGAACTCAAATACTATAAAAAAAAAGAAATTATATATTAGATTTCGAAAATCTTTATGGACGTGTGAATTGAAATGATTAAGCTGTGAGAATTTACGGAGACTTTTCAGCTTTTCAGAACAACTGATCGCGACAGAAAGATGTTCTAAAATCTCTTTAATTTTAATAGATGTTGAAATCCAGACCACGAGCGCTATATTAAATAAATCGGTGCAAATACTAGGTTATGCAGACGATAAACTAATTTGAGATTCTTTCTTAAGGTGATGAACTTATAGTTCGGTCGTTTTTTGGCCTGTTTTTAGCCTGGGCTACCGAACATCTTTGTACATTTTGCCATCATACAGACCAAGAAAACAAGAGGGAGACCAGGGACCATCGGAAACGACTTAACAATCCCACAGTACTCAGAAAGAGATTTTCCTAAATCTCCTAGCTGAAAAACTGATTGTAAAAATAAATCAGAGACAAAATTTATCAGCGTTGAGGATATCTACTTCTTAAAGATTTCCTTAAGCTCTTACACAATTGTCAAAGCCAAACGTATCAAAAATCGTTAACCAATGAGAATAATGACTCACGGTGAATTTTTTGTCAATATATGCTATTTTTGCGTACAAATGATAGCTTGATTTCTTGAAACAGAAGTCCCCCTTTATAAAATTCTTTTGTACGGTTCGGAAATCTTCCAAAAAAGACGAAGAGGACCTATGGACCTTTAAGGGTAAGGTTTAAGTGGGCACTCTCATCACGACACG